TTGATTTTGGTATCACATCCATGAAAAATCCATTTGGGTTATCAATCTTTAGTGTGTTTAGTGGCTCGCTGAAAACAGTCATACTGATTCTCCAGTATTTCGCTTCTTTCTTTGTTGTCATCTGTGAAAGTTCCATCTCCCTTTCGCAGGGGCCCGATACTGGATGTGTTTGTTTTATCTTGATTTTGCATTGGAGAGAAGTAGCTGACACAAGTAGAAGAATAATGAGAGGTTGGATAACAAGAACCTTTCCCTCAAGAGATGCCGTACCAATGACGATACGTTTTAAGACAGTGGTGATTTCTAAGATGGAATATTGTTGCACAACAACAGTCGCATTAAATGCTGGAAAAACTGCTGACCTGCAGAACGCGCAAAGATCTTTTACTGCCCGAATACTCAATAAAACGCCTAAATTATTGGAACCATTTAAAATGTTTAAATCTGTATTTTCTACAGCACAGGAGGCGGAGAGACAATAATTTACACTCAGAAAATATTAGAGGGACTGATTCTAAATACGAACAGAAAAGTAACTCCAAATGCGACCAGGAGGCATGGCAGGATGTGTCTAATAGCCAAGTTGAAAAGCAAAGGTGCAATAGTACTCTGAGAGAATTCTGTCAACGTTAAGGGCCCAAAACTTGTCAACACCGTGGAGACACTGACCCTCAAAACCAATACAAGGTCACTAGAGGGTCCTCAATATGCCTAACAGGCTTATTGTCCCCGACAATAGGAACACATACCAAGTGATCACCAGTACCAGTAAGGTATTGTTAAACCACAGATACTACTTGTGGAAAGGAAGAAACTGTAGTGTTCTGTTTAAGTACGCTACTCAACTGAAGAGTACCCACTACCCTGAAGAAAAAGGAGAAGTGTGCATCTTGCCAAACATAATGGTGCGCGTTAACGAAGAAAATAATATGATATGGTATTGCTTGATGGGGTTCCGGGAGTTCGTCTACTCCCAAAGTACTGCTTGATGGGGTTCTGGGAGTTGTTCTACTCCCCAAGCCTGGCCCGAGGCCAGGCTTGACTTGTGAAAGCTTGGCTTGTGAAAGCTCCAAGCACCAAGCTGTTGCTTGGAGCGGCCCCGGCAGGCCCACATACCCACCAGAGCCAGGTTGGTCCGGCTCTATAGAAAAAAACTATCTAGTCTTCTCTTGAAGATGTCCACGGTTGTTCCCACAATATTTCTTATGCTCGATGGGAGGATGTTGAACAACCGCGGACCTCTGACGTTTATACAGTGTTCTCTGATTGTGTCTATGGCACCCCTGATCTTCACTGGTTCTATTCTGCATTTTCTTCCATATCGTTCACTCCAGTAGTAGTAAGCATCCTTCAGTCTCGGGAGACTATTGAGTTGCGCTCTGGTTGTCAATTCTGGTACAGCGTCTGGTGTGACTGATGAGGCCAGTCCGAGAATGGCAGTCCATCCCACACTGAGCACAAAGGAAGTCTGATTCTGGTTTGTCGTCCTGGCTATCCTCCTCTGTCTGTTTGCCTCCGTTTTCTTGGCAAGTGACTCCTCGAACCTGGAGAGACCTTTCTGAACAGACTGCCTCCAGGTTAATCGGTCTGCGGCCAGTGATTCCCATGTAGAAAGATCGACGTCCATGGCTTTTAGGTCCCTGTTGCATACGTCTTTGTACCGCAGCTGGGGTTTGCCTGCAAACGCTTTCCCTGGAGAGACCTTTCTGAACAGACTGCCTCCAGGTTAATCGGTCTGCGGCCAGTGATTCCCATGTAGAAAGATCGACGTCCATGGCTTTTAGGTCCCTGTTGCATACGTCTTTGTACCGGTCTGCGGCCAGTGGACGTCATACAGGAGATCCTTGGGGATCCTGTTGTCCATACAGGAGATCCTTGGGGATCCTGTTGTCGCCCATTCGCACCACGTGCTGGAGCCAGCGCATTCGTCTCGGCCTCAACATTGTGTACATGCTGGTGATTCTTGCTCTTCCCAGGACATTGTTATTTGTCACCTTGTCCTACCAGGTGACGTCCAAGATGAGTCGGAGGCAGCGCATGTGGTAGGCGTTCAGCCATCTTTCCTGGCTGGCGCGAAGTGTCCAAGACTTGCTGCCATATTGGAGTGCTCAGGACACAGGCTCTGTAAGCCTGGATCTTTGTACACCCAGTCAGCTTATTGTTGGCCCACACTATCTTTGTCAGTCTGGACATGATTGTAGATGACTTACCAATACGTTTGTTTAGCTCTGTATTGAGAGCGAGGAAGTCAGAGATTGTGGAGCCCAGATACACGAAGTCGTGAATGATTTCTAGATTGTAATTGGAGAAGCAAATGTCAGGTGGGGAGTCCACTCCTTGTCCCATAACATGTGTTTTCTTCAGGCTGATGGCGAGTCCGAAAGCTTGACAGGCCTCGCTGAAGCAGGTCATGAGACCTCGGCTGAGTGGGCGGTGACTGCTGCGTCGTTAGCAAAAAAAGGAAGTCGCGCAGACACCTCAACCGAACCTTCTCTTGGCTCTCAACCTGGTGATGTTGAAGAGCTCTCCATCGGACCTGGTCCAGAGGTAGATGCCTTCCGTGGCAGATCCGAAGGCGTGCCACAGCATAACTTCAAAGAAAATCCTGAATAGGGTTGGAGCAAAAACACAGCCCTGCTGTACTCCTCCTGGATGTTGAAGGTATCTGATGTTAGGCCGTCAAAGACCACAGTGCCCTTCATGTTCTCGTGGAAGGATTTGATGTTGCTGAGGAGCCTGGGTGGGCATCCGATCTTGGGGAGGATCTTTAACAGGCTATCTCTGCTGATGAGGTCGAAGGCCTTCGTCAGATCTATGAAGGCTACGAAGAGTGGCTGTTTCTGTTCCCTGCATTTCTCCTGCAGCTGCAAGGGAAAAGTCCATGTCAATGGTGGACCTATTAGCTCGGAATCCGCATTGTGATTCTTGATAGACTCTCTCTGCAAGTACTTGGAGCCTCTTCAATGTGACTCGAGCAAACATCTTTCCAACAATACTGAGGAAGATGCCACGGAAATTGTTGCCATCGCCCCTGTCACCTTTATTCATATACAGCGTGACGATGTTGGCGTCCCTCGTGTCCTGTGGCACCTCTCCTTCTTCCCAGCAGAGGCAGAGAAGTTCATACAGCTCCATGAGCAGTTACCTCTGCAGCACTTCAAGGTCTCAGCAGGAATACATAACATGCCACATTATAGTGGCATAATGTGTCTAAACAGTGCATTCCTGACAGCAAATCCCACACCATGTTCTCTGGTCTCATCTGGAGGTTTTCCTTGCCAGAAAAAAGAGAAGGCCCTCTCTCTCACAGGTCCTGATCCTGGAAGCCTGGTCTCTTGGAGAGCAACAATATCCATCTGCAGTTTGCTCAGCTCCGTATCGATGATTGCTGTTTTTTGGGCATCGTTGATTTCTTGCATATCATCAGAGAAACCTGGTGTCAGTGTCCTGACGTTCCATGTGCCCAACATTAGGGCAATTGATATTTTCTTTTTAGGTTTGGTATTGCTCAAATACCAAATATTGCCTGGGTTGTGAAGCTCATTATTTTCCATAAAACCAAAAATTTGATTCCTAATCACTCTTTCAAAAACTTGTGTGTGCTGTTAGTGTAACTGGTCTATAATTTTTTGCCAAAGCTTTACTACCCCCATTGTGAAGAGGAGCTATATCTGCAGATTTAAGTGTTGCTGGTGTCTCCTCTGTATCCAGGCTCTTTCTCCATATTACACTGAGCACTCATGCTACTTTACATTTCTTTGTGAATATTAAATTCCACGAGTCAGGCCCAGGGGCTGAGTGTATGGGCATTTTGTCAATTTCTCTTTCAAAGTTTTTGGAGTTCGTGTTAATATCCGTTATATTATCTGCAGCTTGGGTGTCATTCATAAAGAAGCTGTCTGGGTCATCAACTTTCATGTTGTTTATTGGTGTGCTAAACATAGCCTCATACTGGCTTCTTAGAATCTCACTAATTTCTTTGTTGTCCTCTATGTACGTTCCTTCTGATGTATTTAAAGGACCAATATTGACAGAGGTTATTGATTTTGCAGATGTGAAAAAATATTTTGGAATTGTCTTTATCTTTTGTATAGCTTTCTGTTCCAATTCCATTTCCTCAGATTCATATGATCGCTTCGATGTTTGCTCTATTTCTTCGATCTCTTTGTTTAGGTTTATTTTCCTTTCTTGTGATAGTCGTGTCTGCTTAAGCATTTCCGTTATGTTTTTCCTTCTCCTGTACAGTCGTCTGCGTTCTCTGTCTAGAGTGGTCCTCTTTCTGCCCCTCCTCACAGGCACGTGCTTCAAGCAGACCTTGTAAGTTTCAGCTGTCAGTTGAGCTATTCCCTGTGTGGGAGTTTTGTCGCTTAAGACCGTCTCCCATTGAATGGTTGCAAGGTCTATATTTATTTATTTTTTTACATCTATATAAATTATAATTTGAAATCGAGATTTCACTCTCCATGTAATCTTTCGTACGAGTGTCCGTGAATGCCCCAAATATTGAGTTTGACTCCAATAGGAGGCCATTTATGAACTTTACTTTATTTCTTGATTTTGACTTTAGGCGGCCTTGTATGTTTGCAAATATGAATGATTGTGCCTTGTGTGTGTCACTTCTGGAAGGTTTTGGTAGTTCTCCCTCCTCTCTACCCTGACCCAGGGTGTGTTGTTGTGGCAATGGTTTGTCCAGTTGTCGTAGTGGTACTCGGGAGTGTGGTAGTGTCTGTGTGTAGTTGGAGGGGTGTAGAATGTGCGCGCTTGATAACGAATTGTAGTCCAGTCTTGGGCATCTTGGGCACTGAATTTGATATCAAGTCGACAGGCCAGTTTCCATATACAATCAGAAAATATAAAATGCAACAGCTGCAAAAAGTATTCCAACTACTCATCAATCATTTTAAAAATGTAACCCACTGCACTCAACTATAAATAAATTAATAAAAGCAAACTCCAATCCAAATAAACTTGACTTGGGGATGAAGAAGCGAGGTACTCACGGCGTTGCAGGTGTCGATGTCGGTGTTGGTCTTGAGAAACTCCAGAACCTTCTCCAAGTTGCCGGCCCGCGCCGCCCGCAGGAAGCTGGCGCTCCCATCAGTCTGTGGGAGACAACACACTGTTAGTCACACGCTCCTACCTCCTCCACCCTCGGTCAGACATTCTTAAATATTGACAAAACATTATCCTATATTGTAAATGTGCTTGGCAATAATAATATTATATATGTACACATACGCCGCCCTCACCTGCAATGTTATCAACCTCATACCCGACCCCCACCATGTTGTCACCCAGCCCACACCATGTTGTCACCTGGTCCACACCATGTTGTCACCCGGTCCACACCATGTTGTCACCTGGTCCACACCATGTTGTCACCCAGCCCACACCATGTTGTCACCTGGTCCACACCATGTTGTCATCCGGCCCACACCATGTCATCCGGCCCACACCCATTTTCAACCCATCCTCAGACCAAGACCATTCTATCCAGGAGACGACCCCAAAGCAGCCCGTCCTCGAAACAAAGACCCAAAGTCCATTCCATCCATCCGCCAAACCCCAGCTCTTTATGCAGCCCGTCCTCCAAACAAAGATCCAAAAGTGATTCCATGCACCCGCCAAACCCCTTGTTTATGAATGAAAAGCGGTTTACACACGACTCAACTGCTGACGTTCGAACATATCCGGAACAAGTGCTTCACTGACGAATTTTGTTTCATTCACAACGCTATAAATGCTTCACCCACGTACTACAAATACAAATAATCGCCAAGAGAACCTAAACACCTAACCTAACCTATCCTATCCCTATATATACACAATATGCTAATATATTATAATATTAATTTATACTTGCGAAAATTCCCGTTTTGAATGAACAGCATGTTAAAATTGATAAATGCGTCTAAGGGGTTGACCGCTGAATGTAATGGACTTGAGTCGAGGACGGGTTGCTTTATGAATGAGAAACCCGTCCTCGACTCAAGTCCATTACATTCAGCGGTCGACCCCACAGACGCATTCATAAATTTTAATATGCTGGTTGCTACCTGGTTGATGGGGTTCTGGGAGTTCTTCTACTCCCCAAGCCCGGCCCGAGGCCAGGTTTGACTTGTGAGAGTTCGGTCCACTAGGCTGTTGCTTGGAGCGGCCCGCAGGCCCACATACCCACCACAGCCCGGTTGGTCCGGCACTCCTTGGAGGAATAAATCTAGTTTCCTCTTGAAAATGTCCACGGTTGTTCCGGCAATATTTCTTATGCTTGCTGGGAGGACGTTGAACAACCGGGGACCTCTGATGTTTATACAGTGTTTTCTGATTGTGCCTATGGCACCTCTGCTCTTCACTGGTTCTATTCTACATTTTCTTCCATATCGTTCACTCCAGTACGTTGTTATTTTACTGTGTAGATTTGGTACTTGGCCCTCCAGTATCTTCCAGGTGTATATTATTTGATATCTCTCTCGTCGTCTTTCTAGTGAGTACATTTGGAGGGCTTTGAGACGATCCCAATAATTTAGGTGCTTTATTGCGTCTATGCGTGCCGTATATGTTCTCTGTATTCCCTCTATTTCAGCAATCTCTCCTGCTCTGAAGGGGAAAGTGAGTACTGAGCAGTACTTAAGACGGGACAACACAAGTGACTTGAAGAGTACAACCATTGTGATGGGATCCCTGGATTTGAAAGTTCTCGTAATCCATCCTATCATTTTTCTGGCTGTCGCAATATTTGCTTGGTTATGCTCCTTAAACGTTAGGTCGTCAGACATTATTATTCCCAAATCCTTTACATGCTGTTTTCCTACTATGGGTACATTTGATTGTGTTTTGTACCCTGTATTATGTTTAAGGTCCTCATTTTTACCGTACCTGAGTACTTGGAATTTATCACTGTTAAACAACATGTTATTTTCTGATGCCCAGTCGGAAACTTTATTAATATCAGCTTGAAGTTTTTCAATGTCTTCAGCCGAGGTAATTTTCATACTGATTTTTGTGTCATCTGCAAAGGATGATACGAAGCTGTGACTTGTATTTTTGTCTATATCTGATATGAGAATAAGGAAAAGCAGCGGTGCAAGGACTGTACCTTGAGGTACAGAGCTTTTAATTGCACTTGGACTAGATTTTATATGGTTGACCGTTACTCGCTGAGTCCTGTTTGACAGAAAACTGAGTATCCAGTGTCCTACTTTACCGGTTATTCCCATTGACTTCATTTTGTGTGCTATCACGCCATGGTCACATTTATCGAAAGCCTTTGCGAAGTCCGTGTATATCACATCAGCATTCTGTTTTTCTTCTAATGCCTCAGTGACTTTGTCGTAGTGCTCAAGTAGCTGTGAGAGGCACGATCTTCCCGCTCGAAATCCATGTTGGCCTGGGTTGTGAAGGTCATTGGTCTCCATGAAATTGGTGACCTGACTCCTAATCACTCTCTCAAATACTTTTATGATGTGCGATGTTAGTGCAACTGGTCTATAATTCTTTGCCAATGCTTTGCTCCCTCCCTTGTGTAGAGGGGCTATGTCTGCTACTTTAAGTGCATCTGGTATCTCCCCCGTGTCCAAGCTCTTCCTCCACACTATACTGAGTGCCTGTGCTACCGGCACTTTGCATTTCTTTATAAATATTGAATTCCATGAGTCTGGACCTGGGGCCGAGTGCATGGGCATGTTTTCAATTTCTCTTTCAAAATTTAGTGCGCTCGTGTTGATATCAGTTATATTTACAGGGGTTTGAATATCCCGCATAAAGAAATTGTCTGGATCTTCCACCTTCATGTTGTTTATTGGAGTGCTAAACTTGTCCTCATACTGCTTTTTTAGGATTTCACTAATTTCTCTGTCATCCTCCGTGTATGAACCTTCACTTGTACGAACAGGTCCAATACTGGCAGTGGTTTTTGCTTTTGATTTCGCATATGAGAAGAAATATTTTGGATTTTTCTTTATTTCCTGAATTGCTTTCTGTTCTAACTGCCTTTCTTCAGTTTCATATGAGTGTTTCAATTTCCGCTCGATTTCTTCAATCTGTTCATTCAAAACGGGAATTTTCTCAAGTATAAATTAATATTATAATATATTAGCATATTGTGCATATATAGGCATAGGATAGGTTAGGTTAGGTGTTTAGGTTCTCTTCGCGATTATTTGTATTTGTAGTACGTGGGTAAAGCATTTATAGCGTTGTGGTTCGAACAAAATTCGTCAGTGAAACACTTATTCCGGATATGTTCGAACGTCAGCAGTTGTGAGTCGTGTGTAAACCGTTTCTCATTCATAAACAGCTGGGGTTTGGCGGGTGGATGGAATGGACTTTGGGTCTTTGTTTATGAGGACGGGCTGACCGTGTTATAACACGTTCATTCATTAGGACTACAGACTGCTGCACCAGTGCTGTAGCCAAGGTCACCCTGGGGTCACCACTGGCCTTCACACGATCAATGTCTCCCTCAGTGGGTCCCTCCCTCCCTGGGTGTCCCTCTCCCCCTCCCACCCTGGGTGTCCCACTCCCACCCTGGGTGTCCCACTCCCTCCCTGGGTGTCCCACTCCCTCCCTGGGTGTCCCACTCCCTCCCCCTGGGTGTCTCCCCCTCCCTCCCTGGGTGTCCCTCTCTCCCTCCCTGGGTGTCCCCTCCTCCCTCCCTGGGTGTCCCCTCTCTCCCTCCCTGGGTGTCCCCCTCTCCCTCCCTGGGTGTCCTCTCTCCCTCCCTGGGTGTCCCTCCCTGGGTGTCCCTCCCTCCCTCCCTGGGTGTCCCTCTCCCTCTCTGGGTGTCCCCTCTCCCTCCCTGGGTGTCCCTCTCCCTCCCTGGGTGTCCCACTCCCTCCCTGGGTGTCCCTCTCCCTCTCTCTCCCTCCCTGGGTGTCCCTCTCTCTCCCTCCCTGGGTGTCCCTCTCTCTCCCTCCCTGGGTGTCCCACTCTCTCTCCCTCCCTGGGTGTCCCACTCTCTCCCTCCCTGGGTGTCCCACTCCCTCCCTGGGTGTCCCACTCCCTCCCTGGGTGTCCCTCTCTCTCCCTCCCTGGGTGTCCCCCACTCCCTCCCTGGGTGTCCCACTCCCTCCCTGGGTGTCCCTCTCCCTCCCTCCCTGGGTGTCCCTCTCCCTCCCTCCCTGGGTGTCCCTCTCCCTCCCTCCCTGGGTGTCCCTCTCCCTCCCTCCCTGGGTGTCCCTCTCCCTCCCTCCCTGGGTGTCCCTCTCCCTCCCTCCCTGGGTGTCCCTCTCCCTCCCTCCCTGGGTGTCCCTCTCTCTCCCTCCCTGGGTGTCCCACTCCCTCCCTGGGTGTCCCTCTCTCTCCCTCCCTGGGTGTCCCTCTCTCACCCTCCCTGGGTGTCCCTCTCTCCCCCTCCCTGGGTGTCCCTCTCTCCCCCTCCCTGGGTGTCCCTGTCTCTCCCTCCCTGGGTGTCCCTGTCTCTCCCTCCCTGGGTGTCCCTCTCTCTCCCTCCCTGGGTGTCCCTCTCTCTCCCTCCCTGGGTGTCCCTCTCTCTCCCTCCCTGGGTGTCCCACTCCCTCCCTGGGTGTCCCACTCCCTCCCTGGGTGTCCCACTCCCTCCCTGGGTGTCCCACTCCCTCCCTGGGTGTCCCACTCCCTCCCTGGGTGTCCCACTCCCTCCCTGGTAAACCTATAGGACTAGCTGGCCTCCGCCACACAGTGAGAGCAACACACGGGTCTCCGCCCCTGGCGGCCACCTCAGCAACACATGAAGAAGGTTGTGGAAAAACAAGTGTTACAGTGACAGTAAAACTTACCCACCTGCAAGAGCACCTGCAAGAGCACCAGCAAGAGCACCTGCAAGAGCACCTGCAAGGGCACCAGCAAGAGCACCAGCAAGGGCACCAGCAAGAGCACCTGCAAGGGCACCAGCAAGAGCACCTGCAAGGGCACCAGCAAGAGCACCTGCAAGGGCACCTGCAAGGGCACCTGCAAGGGCACCAGCAAGAGCACCTGCAAGGGCACCAGCAAGAGCACCAGCAAGGGCACCAGCAAGAGCACCTGCAAGGGCACCAGCAAGAGCACCTGCAAGGGCACCAGCAAGAGCACCTGCAAGGGCACCAGCAAGAGCACCAGCAAGGGCACCAGCAAGGGCACCAGCAAG